AACAATGCAGATTTATTTTCACAGCCTTCTTTGATCATATTTACCAAGGGTGCCAATAATTCTGACCACGACTGTAGGTAATACTGTAACGCCAAGCCAGCAGAGGGAGCCCGAGCCCGAGTACTGACCGTGCTCCACTCCCTCTGCTTCCTCTGCTTTCACTTCCTGTTTGACTCTCATATAAACTGAGACCAGTCCATGTGCTGATCGCAAAGTATTGCCAGTTTATCTGCCTTACCAAGCGTTATTCTTCCTCTGTTCCTGATTGATTTCCTGTGTATGATTCTGCCTGACTTCTTGACTCACGGTATTTGTACTCTGCCCCTTTTGTTCTGACGCCTGATAGGACTGATGTTTGTGTTTGGACTCATTGCCTGCCTCTCCACTATTGTCTCTGCTTCTGCCCTTGTGTGTGACGAACGATCTGCTTGCTTCTCTGACTTTGACCCTCTGCCTGATTATCGACGAAACCGCTCAAACCCTCTTCCAACACATCTTTAGAATATATAGACTACCAGAGGACATAGTCAGTGACCGAGGTACCCAATTCACGTCTCAGGTCTGGAGGGCATTCTGCAATCAGTTGGATATCAACGTCAGTTTAACTTTAGGCTATCACCCATAAGCCAACGGACAAGTCGAACGACTCAACCAGGAAATAGGAAGGTATCTCCGAAGCTACTGCAGCCGTGAACAGCACAGATGGTCTGAGTTCTTGCCCTGGGCGGAATACGCCCAAAACTCTCTGACTCACTCCTCTACAGGTCTAACCCCCTTCCAGTGCGTCCTAGGATTCCAACCGCCTCTGTTCCCGTGGTCTGGCGAACCCTCCTCGGTTCCTGCAGTGGACGAATGGATTCAACATAGTGAAACGTGAATTCTCTGCATTGATTATAAGCTTCCTGATTCGGAAGTGACTGAGTTAGCATTATTTCACGCATCGCTACATTATTGTCATGGACTCCACAAGTTATGTGACTGACTCAAGAACAAGTTCAGATGGGAACTTCATCCCCAAGAAGGATATCAAGTGATCAAGCATCCCCGCCACAGCTGCTTTGTTTTACTCTCTCGAATGTCTTCACAAGCTAAGTTCCTTTTAATGCTCTCAGGTTTGGCAGCATGCGTGTTGCTAAGGCTATCTTTCTTGCTTAGGCTCATTTAGTTGTTTTCAGTTACATGCTTGTGTTGTGCTAGTTTATGTGACCTATTGGCAATGTGCGGTACTTATCTGTTGTCACTGGCAACACGCTTGTCGCTGAATATGCTGCACTTAAAGGGGGGTCTAATGCTATATCATGCATTCCGAGTTGTTTACACTGTTAAGAGTTGGATTCTCATGCACGCGCGCGCACTCAGCGACCCGAGCGAGAGCGAGCCGCTCTACATGGTTCATGGTTAACTTATTGAAGTCATCGGCAGTGCTGCAGTTACTTGCTTGAGAAGACTGTCTCTAAAGATGTGTTTTTGGATGTGAGGAAAAAATAACCTTCTTCAGTGTTATGTGAACAGTGGATGCAATTTGTTTTTTCCAGGGGAAGCAACGAGTGCAGGTCCAAGAGAAAATGGTAAATGGTCTTTGTTCAGTTGAAGTCGTCTGCATCCGAAAACCTAGGATGCTGACATGCTGCCTATCAGCCAATGACTTCGCAGGCAGCATTTGTTCATGAAGGTAACTCATGAAACTGAAATTGGACATGCTTCTGAGGCAGCTTAACGTTCAATGATCTACAACAAAATAGAACGAGCTTCGTATCTCAGGAGGCAGGAAGTGAAGCTAACATTGGATTCGGTGTGTCTTGATGCCTTCCTACCTTGAAATGTGTCCTCCAAAGGCAGCATTTTCCAGTTTCGGATGCAGCCGTTAGTTCAGTGTTGATTCTGCTCCGGTACCAGACACGCCTGTTTTGTCTAGTCGTATTGGAAACATGCTTGTTCTTAAGCTCTCGGTTGTTATTGGGAACATGCTTGTTCTTAAGTTATAGTTGTATTGTCGGGAACACGCTTGAGTTTCGGATGCAGCCGTTAGTTCAGTGTTGATTCTGCTCCGGTACCAGACACGCCTGTTTTGTCTAGTCGTATTGGAAACATGCTTGTTCTTAAGCTCTCGGTTGTTATTGGGAATATGCTTGTCCTTAAGTTATAGTTGTATTGTCGGGAACACGCTTGTCCCAGATCTATCTGGTTGTTATTGAAACATGCTTGTTCTAAAAGCTGTAGTCGTATTGGGTATATGCTTGTTCTTAAGCTACCTGGTCATTATTGGGAACATACTTGTTCTTAAGTTATAGCTGTATGGTTGGGAACATGCTTGTTCCAGAGCAATCTGGTCGTTATTCGTAACATACTTGTTCTTAAAGCTGTAGTTGAATCGGAAACATGTTTTTCTTAAGTCTATCTGGTGCTATTAAGAATATGTTGCTTAAGCTTTTAAGGTATTGACAACATACTTATTAGGTCATCCGTTAAAGGCAACATGATTGTTGCTACAGGTTATGCGGGTTTTGCAACATACTTGTTTTGGTCATTTGGTTAAGGGCAACATGCTTGTTGCTTAAGGCTTTGAGATTTTGCTATCAGTTCATGTTGGGGGATATCAGCATATGGTTTTGTTTTGGGGGGTTATCGCTGCTCTCCCTGCTCTCATCCATGCTAGGCTGCATGGATGCGCAGGGAGTTCTTGCCCAGAACAGAACCATACCGCCAATCCAAACTGTATGCTAATTGTCAATCAACTTTGACGATAGTGGTCCTGACAGAAATCAAGCATAGCGTTAGTTCTGGCAGGTCACGTTAGTCAAGCTCGCATCAGCTGACCTTCAGCTGATCATTGTCAATCATCTTTGACGATAGTGGTCCTGACAGAAATATTACATACGGGGGCGCTATTGAGTACCCAATGGAGTAGATGTGTTCTGCTGAGCTCCTCTCCATATTAGTTAATCGGTAAATTAATTAATTAATTATTTCATCACCGTCGGAAATGGCAGAACAGGCCGCGGCATCCTCGGGGTCGAGTGGCTAGACTGACGCGGAATCTACCAGTATTCTTCTGGCAATACAGAATATGAGGAAAATGATGACTGATCGATTTGACCTTCTGGAAGCATCTTTGGCGTCCACTCAAGCATCTTTAGTGTGCCTCAGGGATAGAATTAAGCAGGTGGAAATTGCTACTGCCGATTATGACCGCCGCCTTTCCCTCGTCTAGCAGAAGTGCGCAAAAGTACAGTAAGAGAATAAAGCTCTTCGTGAGAAAGTGATCGATCTGGAAGCTCGCTCCAGGCGGCAAAACATTAAAATCGTTGGCTTGCCTGAGAAGATAGAGAATGGGCGCCCCATGGAATTTCTGACGAAGTTTATTCCTGATCTGCTGGGCGCTAGCAACTTCTCTAAGCCGTTGGAAGTGGATCGAGCTCATCGTCTGGGGAGGCAACCCTCTGGAGAAGACGCGCGGCCACGTGTGATGATAGCCCGGAAAAAATACTCCAATTGGCTCATCAACAGTTTCCTTTGCGCTACAAAGGCAGGCCGATACACATCTTTCCCAACCTTCCGGATGAAATAATGAAGCAGCGACAGGCATTCAATGATGTCAGGAAGCATCTCCGGGAAGCCGGTGTGAGAAGCGGCTTCATTTACCCGGCAAGACTGCGCGTCACCCATGGTAACACTGACCAGGTGTTTTCCTCGCCCGAGGAGACAGAGGTCAACATCGGGACGCTGTCTTGAAAATCATTTATATATGCTGACATAATATGCTCTGGTATGTGACTTTTATGCAACAGCAATTCAGACTGGGACATTTATATGACCGTTTTTTGTTCATAAAGTTATTTATGTGGTTGAGCTGTAGGGCTTCTTAGCTATAGGTTCGCTGTTCCGATGGTCCAGCTACCCCTCAGTGAGTTTTTGGGATGCATGTTCTCACTTTGTTTGGGAAAGTGGGACGGGGGTAATGTTCTTTTTGTGTGAGTTGTTTTTTTTATTTTTATACCATTAAGTGTTTTAAAAGGGCGGTATGCTTGTACATTGTTTATTTTCAACTTTTGTATGAATCCTAGTTTACCTTCGAAGGGCAGCGGCATCACTTTTACCAGCTGGAATGTGCGTGGCATGGGTCATGCGAGCTAAAGTATTTTCCCATTTGAAATCTCTGTCCGCTAATGTTATGTACTTGCAGGAGACCCATATTAGGCCCACGAGAGAGAAGATGCTTAAATGCATAAATGGCCATATCTTTCAGTCCACATTCTCCAACAAGGCTAGAGGAGTTGCAGTCTTAATCCGTAATGTCCTCCATGAATCTGGTTGATATATAGAGACTGATACATCCCACAGGTAGAGACTATCTTTTTTTGCCACAAAGGCACAAATCTTTTTCTAGAATTGATTATTTTTTGCTTGACTCCAAACTTATATCAAACGTGACCACTTCAGATTATCACAACATCTTAATTTCTGATCACTCTCTCAATGGTTCTTGATCTTGGCCATAAGACTAAACCATATTGTTGGCGTTTTCATCCTTCTCTAATTTCTGATGTATCATTTTGTCAATTTATATCTCAAAAGATCTCAGAATTTTTAGATATCAATGGTAACTGACTCCACTTTGTGGGAATCTTTTACGGCTGTGACCAGGGGTCATATCTCTTTTGAGTCTTCAGCCAGACGAGACAAACGTAGACGCCTTTCAGAAATAGAAGAGGAATGATCTCAATTGGAACCCTCTTATAGAATTTCCTCTAGCCCTTCTACCTTACAGACTATTCTTAAATTAACGTATGAATATAATACTATTTTATCTGGACAGGTATGGGATCAATTGTTAAGGGTAAGACAAAAATATTTTGAGTTAGGGGATAAGCCCCATAAATTGCTAGCTCGACAGCTGAGGGGTTTACGAGCTAATAAAGCCATACACAAAATTAAATCAGAAGTAGGGGACATGCTTGTGGATCCTAAAGGTATAAATGATCGCTTTAGAAAATATTATGAACAATTATATACATCAAGAGCAAGAGGGGACATCTGTAATTGGCTAGGTCCTTTGAATCTTCCTAAACTGAGTGACGTTGCTTGTGAGGCCTTAAACTCTGACATTACTATTTCAGAGATTGTTGATGCTATAAAATCCTTTCCTAATGGCAAGGCAGAAGGGCCAGACGGTTTTGGTATTGAATTATATAAAAAATATTCTGAAAAGCTGTCTCCCCTTTTACTGAGGATGTTCACTCATTCTCTTGAAACTCAAAAATTCCCTAGCACATTATATGATGCTAATATCTCATTAATACCTGGAATGGCCTTATATGGTGAAGGTTATGGAAGAATGTGGGTTTGGTAGTCGTTTTGTGTCATGGATTACAACACTATATGCTCACCCAACCTCTGCCGTACTCACAAATCAAGAAAAATCGAAGTCATTTTTATTACATCATGGGACACGTCAAGGATGTCCCCTTAGCCCTTTGCTTTTTGCAGTTGCGATCGAACCCCTCGCGATCAGTATTAGAAACCATCCATCAATCGAGCCTGTAAGACTGGGAAATGTAGATCGTTACATTTCCTTGTATACAGATGATGTTGTTCTCTTTTTGTCGAATCCTGAGTCAATTCCTTTACTGCTAGATCTTATAAAATCTTTTGGTACAGTCTCTGGATATACAATTAATTGGCAGAAGAGTGAATTCATTTCTTTAAGTGCTGAACTTGATGATGAATTCCTATGCAATCTTCCTTTCAAAATCACAGACAGACTTAAGTATCTTGGAGTTGTTCTGCCCAGAAACCCTAAATTAATTTTTAAGTTGAATTTTCTAAAGAAATTGGAGGATCTAAAGATAGACATTGGCAAATGGAGGACTCTTCCTCTTTCTATTAACGTATAAACACTGTTAAAATGGTCTCTCTGCCTAGATTCTTATATCTCTTTCAAAACTTACCAATTTTTTTGACAAAAGCCTTTTTCAAATCATTAGATTCGATAATACTGCCTTTTAGCTGGGGCTTTAAAGCTCACAGAATATCAAAAATACATTTACAAAAACCAAAAGAGAAATGTGGGCTAGGGCTACCTTGCTTTTTGCATTATTACTGGGCAGCGAATGCGAGGGCCCTTGTTTATTGGCAGGAGGATTATAAAACAGAAATCTCAATTGATACTCCCCCTTGGGTTGCTATTGAAAAAAATGGAATTGAAAACAGTTCACTCCCAGCACTTCTCTTTTCAACTTCTGTATTGCCTGCATCTGTTAAGGTGGATAATTTTAAAGGTGGATGCAGATTACCTGACACTGCTATTTTTGCCCCAGTATATGGCATTCACACATTTCCCCCTTCTCTCTCAGATACAACATTCAACATGTGGAGGCTGAGTGGTATAGTTACCTTGGAGGATTTATATATTAACACACATTTTGCTTTTTTTTCTCAATGAAAGGATAAGTTTTCTCTTCCCACAACACACTTTTTTCGACACTTACAGATTAGAAATTATGTACGTCATGCAGTGCCTAGTTTTGAGGCCCTGCCGGAGGAAAGAAGGATTTATAGACTATTGTTGGGCTCACCTGATTCCAAACATTTAATTTCAGATTTTGTAATTGTGTTTTCTGAAGAAGTTAGTTTTTCTTCGCATTCTTTAAAAAATGCTTGGGAGGATTCTTTCTTGTTCTATTAATTCTAGGCATCAGTTAATTCAATTTAAGGTGATGCATAGATTGCACTATTCAAAATCTAAATTACACAGGATTTTCCCAACCGTTTCTCCTACATGTGATCGATGTAAATCTGCAGAGGGCTCTCTTACCCATCTCTTTTGGACATGCCCTAAACTTTATAATTTTTGGTGTAACATATTTAAGTGGTTTTCTGACATGTATGGTTTTGCGTTTAAGCCTGATCCAGAGATTGCGTTATTTGGATATTCTGCTTCTTTGTCAGACCATAATGTCTCCGTACAAAGCACCATTATTTATGGAATGATTATTGCTAAGAGCATCATTCTACGACTTTGGAAATCGGATACTGTTCCTCAGTTCAAGACCTGGTTGACTTATTTTACTGGAATATTGCACATGGAGAGAGTAAGGTATGGAATTATGGGTAACCTTGATAAATTCTACAGTATATGGCAACCATTTCTGGATCATCTTAACCCGTTAAATGCTGACTCTGATCAGTAATGTCGGGCAAAGTATGCTGTCTGCTCTGCCCTCTACTGAGTGCTTGTTTGTTTGTGCTTTACCACTGAAACTGCATATACGCCCTGGTTCTTAGTTTTTTGCTTGTTTGTTTTTTCCTTTCTTTTTTTTTTTTCTTTTTTTTATATTATTATTATTAATGGTTGATGATGTTAATCATTACTAATAATCATTTATATTGCTGTTTTTATTGTTAATATTATCATTCATTGATTTGTATATATTTTCTAAATGTATTTTCTTTTCTTTTACTTTTTTGTAAAATGGTATTATTTACCATTATTTTTCTTTGCATTTCAATAATCAGAATAGGATTTGTCATTGTGGTAATGAGATAGGAGCAAATGTGCTTAATTGTCATAAAAATTATGTGAAACTGCAAAACATCTGAATGGAAATAAAAATAGGCTTTATTTCCTGTAAGTAAAATATAATTTCTTATTTCTTTCTTATTGTGGTGAAATATGCACTGGTTATTTTCTTGACAGAAGATTCATTCATGTATTTCTTAGTAGATGAGAAGTATCTAGTGAGTAATTTCAATACTCCTTTGGCGGTAAAACTCACACATCAACTTTATCCTGTCACAAGCTCCACTGTAGCACAAAAAAAAAGATAATCCATCTGTAGACATTTGGCATACTATTTTCAATGCCCAATGGTATGGTTTGGGACACACTAGTCATAATATTGTATACTACACCATATGGTTTGGATATGAGTTCTGTATAGTACGGTTGTAAATTGGGATGCAGCTTTTACCCAGTTATCTGTTTTTCATCTTTTTCCATGTCTTTCTCTGTAGATCATTCAGAGGGGAAAATGGTCTGAGATTCAGGCTGAGTATGAGTTTATATGGCCTCAGAGTAGTGAGCTACCTTCCCCTACCTCAACACAAAACACACGTGACGCAGCATTCACACACCACCTGTCAGCACGGCGCAGTAGCACAGACCAACAGTACCAGCTCATATCCGCTGTGGGTAAGAGCATGTTAAAAATACTTTAACATGCACCTATAATACAGTATTTATATGTGCTTATTTCAATATTCCTGACCTCATCTGTAAAGCATACACAGAATTTCTTCTGTTGTAGCATGCAAAAACAACATGGTAAAATAATGCTGGAATCTATGAAAAGCAATGGCTCTACTATGAGAGGGAACAATATTTAAAATCTTCTATAAAAGCTTTTTTATCAATAATAACACACATTTTAGTGATATTCAGTATTGCTGTAGTACAAAGATTTCTAAATGGCAATCGCAGCAAGTCAATAAGGTAAAATCCAAGTCTCTGGCACCCCCTACTTGTGGAACTAATTTAACGCAACCTGCTTGTTTCCTATAGCTACAAACTTTTATAACTTTTCTTTTAACTACAACCAATTGCAAATAGAACATTTATTTGAAATATCAAATATATACAGTATAATATATTGGTTCACACTTGCAGTTTCAATCATTTTTAAATGACTAAAGTTGTGCATGTGGGTTGGTGGACATGTGTTTAGACGTCAAGATCAGCATTCTCTTTGACAAGTGACGATTCTCCAGAGAAGGGCCCTGAGGCGGGCATGGCCCCAGGGGTCCCGGAGAGCACTGAGGTAGAGACAGCTATCCATAACTACTCTTCACTCAGGAGGGAGTCCAGAGCATCATCACTTCCTGGGTGGAAGAGTGTTGACCACCTGGACAACTCTAGTAAGAACACACACACAGAGAGAGAAAGAGAGTATTCATCATTAGAATAGTCTGGTGCCTCAGAACAAAACTTACATATAGTACATGACTGAATCATTGATTTATCATTGATTAATTGCGAGATGCAAGATGTAAAGAGATTGTTGACTCAAAAATTTAAATTCTGTCATTTACTCATCCTCATGTCGTCCCAAACCTGTATGTATTTCTTCATTCTGTGGAACACAAAGATAAAGATTAAACACAAAGATATTTTGGAGAATGAAGAAAATGTTTTTGTCCATACAAAAATAACAATATTGGACCCTATTGGATCCTTTTTGGGAAAAAAATAGAAATGTTGGGTGAACTATCCCTCTAAGAATACATTTTGACTGGATTCAAATAAAATCTACCAAGGCGATGTGTTAATTCTGTGTGCCGAGTGTCAAAACGTAAAACTTAATCAAAACTTAATTGCGAAAACAAATTTCACATATGTTCGGTATTAAAAAAAAAATACACACCTAGACACTTAGAAAGTGACCCCCGCAGAGAAAATTGACATTTTCTCATTTTGTGATTGTGTATGTGATGTACACGCGCGCACACACACACACACACACACACACACAAATCCTCTATATTTGTCTGTCCAGGTGTTTGTATCTCTCTCCACAGGTGCATCTTCAGTCCTGCAGTCTCCTGATGGTAACTGGATCGGCCTGCAGAGCTCCCAGCATTCCCGGCCCAGTCTGCTGACCAAGCGCAAGAGTCTTGTTTTCAGCATGCTGGAGAAAGAATCAGGTGTCGTATCCATGTATGACGAGAAGGGCTCTGATTCAGATCCAGAGGACCAGGGGGGCTGGGGGGCTGCCCTGTTACAGTTTCGCAGACGCTTCTCCGATGAAACATACTATACTGACTCTCAACATGACCCTGAATGGACATACACTCAACACCCACCCGTTACCTCACCCTCCTCAGGTCAGTACACCAACACTGAGACTCTGAACTCAGACTCTGAGATGTCTCCTGCCCCGTCCACTCAAACCTGCAGACCAGCCCACGGTATGCCGCAGAGGAAGAAAGGACCGTCTGATGCACACCTGTATCCTCCATACAGACATCCTGCAAACAGTGCCGCTTCGCCTCTACTGAGGCCAGAGGCACTGGATGTAAACTTTAACCCCCGTCTGGAAGGGGACAGTAGTGATGGGGAGGAGCGGAACGAGCAGGTCAAAAGATCACCGAGGCGCAGAAACAGCAAACGCGAGACATCAGAGCACAGCCGAGCACATTATGCACTGTACAGCGCTGCCACAGTGGTGAGAAAAATAATAGCCTGCTGGTTGATCAAAAAATCATACTGAGATTACTTAGGCACATATAACGTTTGTGATTTGGACTATGGTATGATAAAGATTTGACAGGTAATTTTGTTGCTGCTCGCAATATATCAAGCGCACAAATAAGAATAAACCTATGCTGATTTTTCAGTTAGGTGTACAAAAAATATCTAGCAATTAATATCTTAATGAGGAGACTTTAACCCCACCTATGTGATTATTATATTATTGTTATGTAGCCTAGATTATTATTATAAACTTTAAATACTAGAATATTATTAAAAATAGAAATATATTTCTGCCGCAATTTCTTTAGCTTTATGTGTTTTTTAAGGCATCACAGTTAAATTCTTGAGCTTTCCTTTTAGTGGAAAACTTTTAATAGACTTCTCCTCATCTGGAGAAATGCTGTCATCACCTCCTGTGTTCATAAAAATTTTAATTATTGTCAGGATTGTTTTTTCTTACTATAAGTGTACATTTCTATACAATTAATTCATTTAATCCCATTAATATTCTTTAAAAACAACACAAATGCTGCTTATGTAATATATTGACTTAAAGGTGAATGTATGTGACTCATTTTTTGTCAATATTTAAGATACTAAATAGAAAATGACAATTTTGGCAAGAGTTGCAGCAATGGAAATTATAAAATCATTGACAACAAAAAGGAAGAAAACTTGTTTAGAATTCTTGTTTTTGAGTTTGAATGTGGTTTATATTTGACTCCAGTAGGTGGCAGTGCAGGACAGAGTTGTGCTTTTATTTGCATAAATAGTGTGGAAAAATTTTAAATCCTTTATCTCAGTCATGAAGTGTTTATTTTATATTCTTATTTTTTCTCCTTCATAATATTTGTCTCTCTCTGCTCTTCTCAACTGTCCCTCTCTTTAACACATCTCAGGAGAACAGTGCTGTCCTCCTCAACACCATGATGATGCGCCGGCAACAGAGCCAGGATAACCCAGTCCCTCTGAATTACCAGGCTCCAGACACTGTGACCCCTCCTGATCTTTTGGCCTCTGACGCCATGACACCTGAACATGACTATCAGAACACAGTGGCTCACAACTCCAGCGCCACTAGCCCACCAATGCTGAGCCAACTGGCGGCCAGCAAACCAGAGTTCCGCATTCAAGGCCCTTTGCTTAGGGGCTCCTCTGTTAATGAAACCCTGGAACAGGAACTGAGATCCAAACTCTGTGAGCTGGTTGGCCAAGTCAGCGAGATGGATGTGATGTCATCTGATTTTGAGCCAATCGGGGAAGTGGGCGACAAGCAAGAGGATCAAGTAAGGGAGAAAGAACGTGAGAAATTGAGACCAAAGGAGAGGCGTGAGAGCAAACAAGACAAGAGGGAAGAAAAGTCGAAGGAAACTGGGAATCAGAGTGAAAGACAAGCAGTTAGAGAGATGGACACAAGTGATGCAGTAAGACAGATAAATATAGCGAGAGAAATGAAGAGAGATAGGGAGCGACAGAAAGAAATTGAAAGCCAAGTAGAGAGAGAGCGAGAGAGACAAAGAGAGCTGGAGAAACAAATCGAGAGGAACGGAGAAAGACAACGAGAGATCGAGATGCAGGTTGAGAGGAAACAGGAAAGACAGAGAGAAATGGAGAAAGAGCAGAAACAAGAGCAAGAGAGACAATCAGAGATTGAGCACAAGATAGAAAAGAAGAGGAAAAGCATACGCATGGAAAAAGAGAAATTAGAACCTATAGTGAGTACGAAATCCAAAGAGGAAGAGAAACAAGAATCCTCAGGTAGACTAATGGAGCGAAATAAGAGTTTGAAGGAAGACTATGATAAAACAGAAAAGCCCAATGAGGAAAAGGTGAAGAGAATATCACCGCAAAGAAGCCAATCAGAAACAGGGTCAGAAAAACAAGAACAACGTGAGACAAAGACAACAAGGTCTTCAACCACATCTCCAGACAGTGCCCACTGTGGTCTGGAGGAGCCAATGTCTCCATCAGAGGTAAGCACTGGCTCCGGCCTGTTACACTAAAAGTTCCTACTTCAGCTAGACTTTGTTCTAAACTCTAGTGAACTGCCTAACCAAACTCCAAAACAGTTATTTAACTAAAGCTGTAAACATATTGACAGTTTAAACAACTTGATTATTTTCAGACTGTTGCTGCACCATGACCATAGTTAACCTGAATAAGAAAACTTACTGTAGAAGAAGACTGCTTATAGTGTCTCTTGTAGCAAAAGTAAGAAGGTCATGCAACACATTTTAGATGCTACAATGTGTAATTTATTTATTTATTTATTGTGCATAAGATATGTTTCAAGCCTTAAAAAAGTCATAATGCATTGTGAGAAGGTCATTAATTGTTTGATGTAGTTGAGGGAAATATCCATAGACATATAAATACATAGATGCCTCATTGGCCACTTTGGCCCATTGCTGTGATGCTTCAACTCGTCTGACATAATGGACCAGGCAAGACTGCTCTATAATCAAATAAAAATAAACAGGGGAGTTGCATTTTTTTTTCTGGACAATGTGCAATTACATTTACATTTCTTAACTGATTTCATTGGTTTATTATCTACATAGAGTACAAAAAAGTCTCCAGTTACTTAGAATCTTGATCGTTAGACATGGAAAATTATTCTTTGTCACTTCACAAGCATAGATTTGGCTTATTTTTCTTGTTAAAATTGTGACTGCATCGCTAATGTAATATAATGTACTGTACATAAATTGTGTTTCATTTTTTTAATTGTGGAAATGACTAATGCTAATAATTGACCATCATTGAAAAAATAATAAAGTTATAGAATAAAGTAATAGAATTGACAAATACAAATCAAATAGTAAGGCACTGTCAGTCAGTCTGCTTTCTATCTATCTATCTATATATATAGAGAGAGATTTTTAAGATTCTTATAGTTTTTTAAGCTTTTTTTGTAGCAATGAAAGGATCCAGATATACACCAGGAGAGACCATTACAAAGACAATTATAAGATATGCCATTATTGATTTCCAGAGGTGAAATTTAGGTGTTACATTTTTTTTTAAGTAAAAATTTTATCCATATATTTTATATTTTGTGCAGCACATCCATTATATATATCTGTATCAGTATCTGTAGGAATCTCAAAATTATTTCTGTCTCTAGCTGTGTCCCAATTCAGAGGCTGTATCCTTCAAAGATTGTTTTCAGCTGCAATTCTTCAAATGTGGCCTTGAAATGCATCCTTCGTTTCCTAGGCCATGAAGCTTACAACTGATGGATCATTCACAGCCCAGACTATCCTAAGATTCATTGCGCACTGGTGACAACAGAATTTTTTTGAGAGAAAATGCCAGATAAGACTTTTAAATGCAAGTGAATACCTACACCAATATTACACTAATATTGGGTTTCAACATGGTGGAATATCTAACAATACAAAACACTTTAAAGCAGTTTAAATACTGACATCTTACTAAGATGCGATTTTATAGATAATTTATACGTTTTATACATAAATGGACCAAGGTGAACAAATTTAGACAGGTTGTTACCCTGTTGTTTTCAGACAGTTGAATATAACTTTTAAAAATGTCCAGACATTACTGCTGCTTGTCAATGGTAGCTGTCACAGTTGCTAAGTGACAAGAGCAATCCTCTGTATAGAAGTCAGGGCCTTTGAAGTTCATTAAAGGATACAGCCTCTGAATTGGGACACAGCTTGTTTCCGGAAATAGGCAGGGCTTAAACCGGAAATAAGTTAGATTACACGAGAAGCCCATTTTAAATGCAATTCTATTCCCTTCATAGTTTTCATTTAACAGATATACCATAATTTTTTTATTATAATTAATAACTTTTAAAATATCTTTTAATTAAAACAAAAAATACAAATAAAGAATGTTTTCCTTTTATTTAACATTTAGTTTTAAATAACTAAACTGTTAAATAAAATGAAAACATTCTTTATATTTTATTTTCCAGAGGAAATATGTGTAAAGATGTCAGAACAATCATCCACAACCTCAAATAAGAGGACTCTATACCTGATTAGAGAACATGGAATTTGAAAATATTCAGTGCTAAATTGCTAAAAAAAAAAATAATTTACTATAAATGCAAATCAATAAATTTTAAAGAATAAATTATGGATCAGCTCCAGGAGGGAATAAGACAGAGAAACATATCATGTTTCACATCGTACAAGTTTTAAAACATCTAAACAGACATATCAAATAGTAGATCAGTAGCCTATTTTAGTTGATATCTCTTGGCGTGACACTTGAACTAAGGCGCTACAGTGTCACGCCACATTAAAGAGCATCATAACCACATTTATTGTTTGTATTTCATGATAAAATTGACAGATTTCAAAAGTTAAGACTTTCAGTATAAATAGTAATAAATAAAATTGAAACAGTAAATAAAATGTATAAACGTATGCATGTAAAAGTATAGTATTTAGGGTAAAAGTTCACCTACTCTCTTACCCCATATACTGTATATGATTTTTTTTTAAATACAAAATATACTACTTTTGTCATTTCTTTTCCCATTAAATGTGTTCCTCTATCAATGTTCAGTAAAAAGATACTTATGTATTTTACCAAGTATGGTTTCATTCAAAAATATAGTATTACCATTTAATGCAATCAATGGATTGTGGTACAGGCACAGTATATTTAAAGGGGTGGTTGACTGTTTTTTTTTTCTAGGCTTGATTGTGTTTATGGGGTGCAGTCTAACATGTGTTAAAGGTGGGGTAAGGGATTTCTGGTAGCCAATGTTGATATTTCAAATCACCACAACAAAAACGTTGTGTTTGTTGACCCTACCCCAAAAGGGTCTCGCCCCTTTTGCCCCAGGCAACGATTAGTTCTGTGAAACAAAGCAAAACCAATGTTATTCACCTATCGAGAAGAAACAAAGGGCCTTCCCGCTCCTCGAGTTCTCTCCAGTGCTGGAAAGCTGATCCGATATTTACACGGGTCCTACTTCTTGCCTTATCGTAACACTGTGTCTACACCAGACGCGAGCGGCAAGACAAAATACTATAGAACTCATTATAATCAGTGATGCTGTCTACACTGGATGCGGCGCGACACGACAAATCCCCGACAGAAAACTGCTGCCACGTTCTATTTATGACGTATTGACACTAAATTCAAATGATTTTCAGCGGTCGCTTTGTCGCGTCCAGTGTACACAGACTTTAGCTGTTGCGGCGCGACACAACAACTGTCGCGTCCGGTGTAGACACGGCATAAGTCTTCTTTTGTTCCGCTTTTCCTCTTTTATTTTTTATCCGCCATCTCTATAATTCTGTGGTCGCTCGACTTGGCTAATGTCCGTCATGTGCACTGAGCGCTCTCTCCTGTGCATCATGAGTAGACACGCCTCTTACTGCTGATTGGCTACAAGTTTGTTTTCCTACTCGGCCCGACTCAGTTTTCTAAAGCGTTTTTGAAAAAATACATACCCCACCTTTAATGCTTCGTTTTTAAAAAATGCATTATTTTTCACATAATTTACCTTTATTCTACACAGCTCTGTCCCTTCTCTCATAAACGTGCTGATCATTTCCTGCTTTTATGAAGCCCCTCCCTCAGAAATACGTGATGGGCTCAGATTGGTTAGCTGGCCCAGTGTGTTGTGATTGGCTAAACCGCCTCTAGTGCGCGTCTGAACGTCACACCCCTCACCTCAGTGGCATGTGCTCCGGTGGTATTGTAAACAATGGCATCATCTATATTGCTTATCAGTTTGAGCCCGATTAAGACGCAGAGGATATTAGTGAAGAGGATCGCACAGAACCTGTGCAAGCACGGCTCTTAATGGTATGTTTTTTTTATTGTTGTTGTCTCATACTTTTAGATACGCTGTTATTTGTAAATGGTACTGCTTCTGTTAGCTTTTGATATATGGTTTTATTTAAAGCTGATTAAAGGTTTAATAAAGTACGGCAACCGTTATACAACCATGTATAACGCTTCTCATAGCTATGTGAAAATAAGTGTATAAATGGAACAGTTCATTGTTGGAGCTGAACTGAATGAGAGAGAGAGAGAGATGCAGAGCAGGGAGCAGGGGAGAACAGTATTGAGAACCACTGCTTTAGAACATGGATTTTGAAACTTGTGAAACCATTAGACATTAGAAAAGACAGAAACGCGATTCATATATGAATAGATTTTTACATGCACCTCTAGTTTTCTCTTCCTCTTCTCTAAAGCAGCGCAGCATGGCCCCGCCCCCTTTGCTGCCTTT